GCCGCCGACCGGTGGCGCAGGTCCCGCTCGCGCAGCCACGAGCGCGAACGGCGCAAGCGCACGAGTCCGCACAGCCGCAGCCGCAGCCGCTCGCCTAGGTGAGCAGGAAGGGCCGGTGCTCCGGCAGGCCCGTGGCGGGGTGTGGGACGGATCGGGTGGTGGTGACGTGCATGGAGTACGGTGATGGTGGTGGGTTTTTGCGATGCCCGGTGTGGCCGGCTGGTGTGGGGAATGGTACTTCGGCTGCCATTTTGCACGCTTCCCTGTCTGGGCCGCTTGGCACGTCCGCATGATTGGTGCCACGTCCGCCGTCTCGTCCTCGCCGTCACCACGCTGCCCTGTGTTGTAGCCGCCTGGCTCGTCGTCCGCTGGAGCGGCGCCGCTCCGACCCTGGTCCAGTGCCGGCCGCCCCGCCACTGCAGCGTGACGGCCCCTTCCTGATCCCGCCGCCGCCGCCCATGCTGCCGCACCCTATGTTCCGGCCGTGGCTGCCGCCCATGTTCCGGCTGCGGCCGCCCTGTCCCCGGCCGCCCGGCTTCTGCCCGCATCCGATGGAGCGTCCGCCGCGCCCGCCCTGCGACATGGCGTTTGGCCCGACCGGCCGCGGGCCGCTAGGCTTCCCGCCGCCGCGGCCGATGCTGGGCCCGCCGCGGCCGCTGCTGTGGCCGCCGTGGGCCGCCGTTCCGGCCGCGGCCGCCGGAGGCCGGCTGGCCGACCGAGGTGGCCGACTCGCCGCCGCGGGGAAGAGCGCTCGCCGCCGCGCCGCCTGCGCAGCCCGCCGGCGCGCGCCACCGCCAGGCAGGAGGAGCGCAGGGGCCGGTCGCCTCGTCGCCGCAGCGCGGAGAGATGCGCCGACTCGCCGTCGCGCGAGAGGCCGGCCGGGCGCGGCGAGCGGTCCGAGCTGCGGCGGGCGGACGCGCGGACGCGCGCCGCGTCCCCGGCGCGAGCGTCGGAGAGGGAGGCTCGCGCTGAGCCGCGGCGGGGAGACAGGGCGCGCCGGGGCGCCCTGCAGGCGGACGGCACGGGCGTCGAGAGACGGCCACGCTCGCGCGAGGCGGACAGGGAGGCGGCGAGCACCGGCCAGCGTCGAGGCGCCGACGCAGGCCGGGGGACAGGGCCGCGCCGCAGCGAGAACCGTGAGGAGCCCTGCGCCGCCCGACGCCCGGCGGGCCGGGAGTGGCGGCCGCGGTCCGAGCCGGGCGGCGCCGAGCGGGACGCGCCGCGGCCTCGACAGGAGGGCGCGCCAGGAGCGAGCCGCCAGCGGCCGGCCGGCCGGGAGAAGCCGGCCGCGAGCCGTGGCGGTCAGCCGGCCGGCCGGGGGCGGTGTGGCTCGCAGCCCCGCCCGACCGACCCGAGACGGGCGGCCTGCCGGCCGGAGCCGCAGGACCCGGGGAAATCGACGTCCGTGCCGCCGTACGCGGGAGTCTGCGCTGACGACGCACGGGGAGGACGGCCGCCGCCACGGACGCCGGCGCCAGAGTCGGTGAGGGTAAATGGACGACGCTCCGCACAGACTGACCCCAGGAAGAAGAGCGTACAGCGGAAACAAGTTAATGCGGAAGACCGGCGTGCAGACGTTACATCATTAGCTATCGAAGACCGCTCTGAAGATCCTACAGGCAATGCCAAAGACGACGAAACAGCAAAGGAGTCCTCAGATCAAATGAAGGTGTCATCGCCCGCGGCGACTGAAGTCGAAGCATCTTCGCCCGTCCCTTTCAAATATGACTCTGCGTTCGAGCCAGGTAGGGAGGCCTCACCCTCCTCGCTTTGGGGTCAAGGGTCCACCGTCGCCGGCGAGCCGGCGCTGCAGACGCTGGCGCCCGAAGACGCGCCAGTCTCGCCCGGTGCTGTCGCCGAGCCCCCGCCGGCGGCGGCGGCGGCGGCCGAGCCGGCGCGCCCGAGCGGCGACAGCGCCGCGTCAGTCGCCTCGAAGGCGTCCGGCTCGACGCCGGGCTGCAGCGGCGTCGGATGCACCCTCGAGTGTCCCGGGGTCCAGCAGCGCGGGGCGGCGGGCCGGCCCCGGGGGTGGCGCCGCCTGCCTGCGCGGTGGTGGCGCCGCCGCCCGGCGGTGCCGGGTCGGCCCCGGAGCCGGCCGAGTCGGACGCCGAGGCGATCCCGTGCCCGGAGCCGCTCAGCAGGCTGCTGGAGCGGGCGCGCCAGCTCATGGCCAGCCGGCTGCCAAAGGTGTTCACGCCGCCCGACAGCCTCCGCCTCATCAGCTGCGAAGAAGACGAGATCCCGGCCTCGCAGTTCGAGTCGTCGCCGGCGGACCGCGACAGCGAGAGTCCGCTACCCGGCGGCAGGTACCCCCTCCCGCTCTCCCCGCTCCTCGTTCCCGTGTCCGTCCCTGCGTCAGGCGCCGCTATCTTCCAACTCCAAAGACCCACTCCTGCGTCATCGATGTTGGCTGCGTCACTGCTGTTGTCCTGGCACGTACTGCGTGCTTGACTTTCTCTTTTGCATGTTTGGTGCGGGCACTCACGATTTTTAGTCGTATTTCTTTGAACGTTTCGGGTGGGCGCCAAATTATCCTGGCTGTAGGCCTGCGCAAAAGCTGCTGTTATCGTCACCAATGTGTCGCATTGTATTTCATAACGCATGTCAAATGGCATATGCGCTGGATGACTCAGAACTCATCAGCATATTCGGCCATAGTACGTTGGCCTCCACGCCGTGAGCTTCCCAGCGTTGTATCACTAGTTGTGTTTGTCCTAATTGCAGCTAAGCCCCTCGGATTACAACCGCAGTGAAGTTAACACCTCGATTGATTCCAGGTACAGGAGGAACTACTCACGCTCCCAGAGCCGGAGTCCGGGCCGGCCCAAGCGAAGCTCAAGAAGCTCGCCGTACAATAGAAAACGGCCCAGGTAGACGCTTGCCCTATCCAATGCTGTCGTCCGCCGCTCTTGTTTATAGTTGGCATGACCTTCGTAAGGGGTGCCCATTTACTTTCATAGAAATGAAGGGAAATGGGTACCCCTTGGTGGATACAAAATATACATTTACTTTCATAGATACGAAAGTAAATGTACACCTTGTAGTGGGTATTGAATATGGCTTGATACTGACGACCAGCGTATTATTATTTGCCCCCCCCCCCCCCCCCGCCCACTGTCGCCGCCTCGGAGGCACTTAGCCCTCCTGTGTAATCTGCAGACTGGCCTGTGCGTGCCCTCCTCTCGGAGCCGTCCAGTGTGGTCCGCAGACTGATCTGTGTGTGGGCGCCAAATGACCACCGCAGTCGGCGCGCCCCTAAACTCCAATAAACAACAACAACAAAGATCTGTGTGTGCCTCGGAGCCGTCCAGTGTGGTCCGCAGACTGATCTGTGCGTGCCCTCCTCTCTCGGAGCCGTCCAGTGTGGTCCGCAGACTGATCTGTGCGTGCCCTCCTCTCTCGGAGCCGTCCAGTGTGGTCCGCAGACTGATCTGTGCGTGCCCTCCGCTCTCGGAGCCGTCCAGTGTGGTCCGCAGACTGATCTGTGTGTGCCCTCCTCTCTCGAAGCCGTCCAGTGTGGTACGCAGACTGATCTGTGCGTACCCTCCTCTCTCGAAGCCGTCCAGTGTGGTCCGCAGACTGACCTGTGTGTGCCCTCCTCTCTCGAAGCCGTCCAGTGTGGTCTGCAGACTGACCTGTGCGTACCCTCCTCTCTCGAAGCCGTCCAGTGTGGTCCGCAGACTGATCTGTGCGTGCCCTCCGCTCTCGGAGGCGTCCAGTGTGGTCTGCAGACTGACCTGTGCGTGCCCTCCTCTCTCGAAGCCGTCCAGTGTGGTCCGCAGACTGATCTGTGCGTGCCCTCCTCTCTCGAAGCCGTCCAGTGTGGTCCGCAGACTGACCTGTGTGTGCCTCGGAGCCGTCCAGTGTGGTCCGCAGACTGATCTGTGTGTGCCCTCGTCTCTCGGTGCCGTCCAGTGTGGTCCGCAGACTGACCTGTGTGTGCCCTCCTCTCTCGAAGCCGTCCAGTGTGGTCCGCAGACTGACCTGTGCGTGCCCTCCGCTCTCGGAGCCGTCCAGTGTGGTCCGCAGACTGACCTGTGTGTGCCTCGGAGCCGTCCAGTGTGATCCGCAGACTGATCTGTGTGTGGCCTCGTCTCTCGGTGTGCCCCTACTCACTGGCGGCGCTCTGGTTTGGCAGGCGTCGGTCACGCTCGCGGTCGCCGGCCCACTCGGGCCGTCCCTACGGGGGGCCGCGCTACACGCCGCCGCCACCGCCGCCACCGCCACCACCGCCACCGCCGCCGCCGCCAGCGCCGGCGCCACGCCGCGGCACTCCCTCCGCCAAGCAGCTGACGGCTGAAGCCAAGATGTCGGAGACGTCCCTGTTCGCCGAGCTAGTCAAGCAGAAGAAGTTCAGGGAGAAGGCGCTGCGCATGCCACTCTTCCAGCGAGAGCGGCCGGACGACGGCAAGGTGAGAGCGAGAGAGCGAGAGAGCGAGAGAGAGAGCGAGAAAGAGAGAGAGAGAGAGAGAGAGAGAGAGAGAGAGAGAGAGAGAGAGAGAGAGAGAGAGAGAGAGAGAGAGAGAGCGAGAGAGAGAGAGAGAGAGCGAGAGAGCGAGAGAGAGAGAGCGAGAGCGAGAGCGAGAGCGAGAGAGCGAGAGAGATGCTGGAGGATGGCGGAGGTCACGCGACCGTACCGGGGTTCATCCAAGGCAAGGATCCACCTGCCCGCTGGCACGTCCGTGGGTGCCCGTCCTCCCCCCTCCGTGTGGCGTGTTGGGGTTGGGGGTGAGCGGGGCGGCACGCGACGGGAATACGGCTAATGTGGATTACCGAATGGTCGTGTGATATTTTACATCCGTTTCACATCAGCTGAGCCGAGTCCCCCTCCCGCTCCGGCGCGGTCTCGACCCCCCCCCCCCCTCCCTCCCCCCGCGGCTGAGCAGCCGCCCGGTGACGCCGGGCCACATGACCGGCAGGAGAAGGAGAACGTGTATCCTGAGGCGGAGGGCGATGTGCTAAGCCCGCGGCCGGCCGGCCGGGAGCCGCCCGACAGCCGCGACGGCGCCGACCAGCTGGAGACGATCGAGTCGTCGCCCGAGCTGTACACGCCCGAGCAGGAGCCGCGCCGGCCGGGCGAGCCGGCTCGCGGCCGCGGCCGCACCCCGCCACTGCCGCCCGGTCAGTCTGGCGGCGCGGACCCGCCCTCCTCCCGGCCACCGAGGCCTGCTGACGGTCCGGACCGGAGGGCGGCATACTACTACACAGCCAGGGTTTGAAAGGGATGCAGTTTCGGACAGAACTATGTCGGTACTTGCCGCCGTCGGCAAGTGTTTGGGTGATGGTGACGTGTGGCTGCTTCGGTGAGGGTAATGCCCGCGCGGTGGTTGTTCGGACGAGCACCAAATAAGGTAGTTGACGTGACTACCGTGCTCGACCGTCGTAACGTTCTTTTTAGCGGCTGATGTTGGTATCGGCAGCTGGATTTGGTGTCACGTGCGCGCGGTCCTGTGCCGCCCGGAGGTCTTGTCCATGTTACATAATTTGATTGTCCATTTTAGGTGTTGGATTGGGGCTAGAAACTCACCAACGATCGATGGATGTCGGTTATGACAAAATTCGTTTTGCACTGGCATTTGGCGTGACGTGGAGGTAATTACCGTACATGAGCGCACATAGTCCACATTTCCCTGTGTGGCCATGGTGGCATGGTGTCCAATGATCACCAGTACGTTATAGCTGTCAGCGAGCTGCTGATTTTCACCGGAGGACGTCCTCATCCCCTTAGATAGCCTGTGTGCTCGGTGCTACTGGTGTACTGTGTTGACTGTGCCCTTGACCAGCTCAGGTCACTGGCGTGGCACCCCATTGGTAACTCACCAGTGGTGACCGGTAGTCTGGCGCCCCCCCCCCCCCCCCCCCCCCCCAGTGATTCCGATTAAGCTGGGTGCTCGGTGCTTCACAGTGTCGTGTTTATTGTGCCGTTGACGTGTTGCGTAGCGGTTGATGAAATGATGCACGGTCACCAGTATAGTGCCGTACTTAATGGTATTGTCACCACTGATGGTGCCTGAGTGTCCCTGCGCACGTCAGGTACCAGCGGTGCCCTCAGTGGTTGACCGAGCGTCGTGTCGTCACCAGTGGTGCCCTGGCACGGAGGACCTGTCGCCGGACGAGGACGGGCCGATGACGCCGCCGGCGCCGCCGCCTCCGCCGCCGCCGCGCGTGCCGCAGCCGCGCCTCCAGCGGCCCAACATCATCCACAAGCGACGCGAGGTGAGGGTCGCGCCGGGAGACGTCAATGCCCGGCTGTGCAGGCGCCGTGCCCCGCTGGCGGCGGGTCGGGCGTGGCCAGGGGGCCCGCGCGCCCCACAGATCGAATAGGCGTACACCGTTTCGGCGTGGCGCCGGCCGGTGTTGCCGACGCCGGCGCGGCCGGCACCGGTGCGGCCAACCCGCTAACACCAGGGGTGCCGGTAGTGTAGTGGTTAGCGCGTCTGCGTTGGCTACTGCGCGTCTGGGAAACCAGAGGTACGGGGTTCGATTCCCCGCGGTGCCCGCCCTTCCTGCCAGGGTGAGAGGACAGGCGACGCCATATAGCCTCAGCAGCTGAGTGCGTCGTAAAGCCCCAATTACACACAACCCGCTTACACCGAGCTCTTGTACCGCAGAGCGAGAACAAAACCTGGGGCGACCGCTGCGTGGACGCCTTCGAGCTGATCGCGCAGGTCGGCCAGGGGACGTATGGCCAGGTGTACAAGGCCAAGGACTGCGCCAGTGGTGAGTGGACGCGATGCTATTGGCGCGTCGCCTGCGCTTTAGTGCGGCCCATCAGTAATCCACTCATTTGGTCAAAAAAGTATTCGGGGATCACACCCAGCTTCGCAGCTAATTCACACCAGCGGTGTTGTCTGGCCGTCTCGCCGCGACGCGCTTGCTCGTGGTGAGGACATTTCTTCCTGTATGGGAAACGGATCGGTGTGGGTGGAACGTTCTGTGGTAAACGGCGGCTGCCACCGTCGGTGGGTCAGTCACGCGTTCAGTCCATTATAACACTGGGGCGGCTGCTACACACTACTCACTGCAAACCCATGCTACGTATAGCTTCGTAAGATATGTGGAAGCATATGGAGCTCGCTGGCTACCGCTTGTGAAAGTCTTCCACCGACCGCATGGCACGTTAGATTGAAAGATATTACGTTCAAGTTTGAAATATGTCTCGACACAGCCGAATGGTTTGGCATCCCCATCTGTTAGTTGCACGCGTTTTACAGGCGAGGTGGTGGCATTAAAAAAAGTGCGGCTGGAGAACGAAAAGGAGGGCTTCCCAATCACGGCAGTACGTGAGATCAAGATTCTGCGCCAACTCAATCACAAGAACATAGTCAATATTAAGGAGATCGTGACGGACAAGCAGACGGCTGTCGATTTCAGGAAGGTACGCACGTGTCGACGGCCGGCCTCGTCTGTGACACGAGGCGGGATTGGGCTCACTCCAAAGCTCTCCAGTGATGACATTGGCCACGCCATCTTGTGTTGCCACGGGACCACCGCTCGCTCCGCCTCGCTTCCCGCGAGAGCACGCCACGAGCGTCGAGCACATGTCAATCCGGATCTGAGCGGTTGTCGGCGGCCGCCGTGATCTGTGCTCGAGCCGTCGCTGCGCTGCGTCCCTGAACAGCTCCGGTCGTGATCTCAGTCATGACCCTTTACCGTGCTGTGCCCCGGGGCCGGGGTGGCGCTCCGACCATAACCTTTTGTGACCTGTTGTGACCCGTCCCTGGCCCGTCTTGACGTGTCGCTGTGCTGCGCCCCAGGACAAGGGCTCGTTTTACCTCGTGTTCGAGTACATGGACCACGACCTCATGGGCCTGCTGGAGTCGGGCATGGTGGACTTCGACGAGCCGTCCAACGCCAGTATCATGCGTCAGCTGCTGGAGGGACTCAACTACTGCCACCGCAAGAACTTCCTGCACCGCGACATCAAGTGCAGCAACATCTTGCTCAACAACAAGTGGGTTCCGCCGCCAGCGAGCCGGTCTGGTTCGGAGCAGATGCCCGGCGGCGCTCCCTGCGTGAATGTGACTGTGGCCGGCTCACCGGCAGTGGCCACCCGCTTGAATACAAGCACCGTGTGCGCCTTTTGTGTAGGATGGAAATTACTTGTAAACGGTGAAGGTGACTTAGTTTACAGTGATTTTCGGACTGTAAAAGGCAGTCGAACTCAAATGTTATCCAAGCGCCAGCAATAATTGTTATCACGTTAACACTGCACATTTGTAAAGTCTGATGGAGATAGCCGTTTGATGACAATGCCGTCGATAAAAATGCTTGGGAATGTGCCATTTACTCATCTTCTTTGCGTTTTTGTTTTATTTCTTCTTGATATCAACGTTGCGGGAAGCCCAGCCCAGCTGTGCATTGTCAGTGTGCTGGCTGACTTTTCTAGTGGTGGTCCCTGCGACTGGACCGTTGATCATGTGTCTCATGCACAAGCTCGTTTACTTCATGCAGTTTTGGCGTACCTGACAACCTACTATTTAAATACTCACATTCAGCAGGAAAATCGCCCGCGCTCCCAGCAGTCTCAGCTCCCCCAGCGACTCTCCGGCGGTTGCAGGCCCCTCCCCCCTAGCGACTCCCCAGCCGGCGCAGGCCCCTCCCCCCTAGCGACTCCCCAGCCGGCGCAGGCCCCTCCCCCCCCCCCCCAGCGACTCCCCAGCGGGTGCGGGCCTCTCCCCCAGTGACTCCCCAGCAGGTGCGGGTCCCCCCCCCCCAACGACCCCCAGCGGGTACAGACCCCTCCCCTATTGACCTCCCAGCGGGTGCAGACCCCTCCCCCAGTGACTTTCCAGCGGGCGCGGGTCCCTCCCCCTAACGACCCCCCAGCGGGTGCAGACCCCTCCCCCTCCCCAGCGGCTCCTCAGCGGGTGCAGGCCCCTCCCCCAGCGGCTCCCCAGTGAGTGCGGGCCTCTCCCCTCCCCAGTGGCTCTCCGGCGGGTGCAGTGTGTGCCGCGTGCGCCCCGCTGACCTGGCGGCCCGGCCGCCCGCCGCCGCAGGGGTCACGTCAAGCTGGGCGACTTCGGACTGGCGCGGCTGTACAACGCCGAGGAGTCGCGGCCGTACACCAATAAGGTGATCACGCTGTGGTACCGGCCGCCGGAGCTGCTGCTGGGCGAGGAGCGCTACGGTCCGGCCGTCGACGTCTGGAGCTGCGGCTGCATCCTCGGCGAACTCTTCCAGAAGAAGCCGCTATTCCAGGTGCGTCGTCTGGGGCTTGCTGGCGCAGGCGGAGGGGCTTGTTGGGAAGAGAGGGTTAGGCATGAGTCCCGTGCTGTTTGTTACGCCGTCACCCCATGCACGGTTTGTGAAATGTTGGCGAAGCTTGCCTGACCGCAAAAAAGCTCAGCAGCCAAAGCGCTCTACAACACGTACCATAGCTTGGCTGACCCGTTTACCGCTTGCCTTGTGGATTGGCGCGGTTGTCGTAATAGTGGCAGTGCTTTAGTCTAGCCGATCGTCGCCTCGTGGTTTTGCCGTGCTGTGGTGCACAAGTCCAGTCATGCGCACTGGTGTCCGCCACTAACCCCCGCCCGTGCCCGCCGCTGACGCCCGCCCCGCTTCCGCCGATGACGCCCGCCCGTGTCCGCTGATGACGCCCGCCCGTGTCCGCTGCTGACTCCCGCCCGTGTCCGCCGCTGACTCCCACCCGTGTCCGCTGCTGACTCCCGCCGTCCCGTCTGCAGGGCGCCAACGTGGAGATGGCGCAGCTAGACATGATCTCGCGGTTGTGCGGCTCGCCCTGTCCGTCGGTGTGGCCGAGCGTGGTCCGGCTGCCGCTCTGGAGCACGCTCCGGCCCAAGAAGCCGTACCGGCGGCGCCTCAAGGAGGAGTTCTGGCACATGCCGTCGGCAGCGCTCAGCCTCATGGACAAGATGCTCGAGCTCGACCCGAAAAAGCGCATCTCGGCCGACGAGGCGCTCAAGAGCCCGTGGCTCAAGAACGTCAATGCAGAGAAGTAAGGGCGCTAGAAACTGGCGGTCCATCTGGGCTCGTTTTTCCTTGTTTGTCATATCATACTAGGCTGAGACTGGCGCAATATTAGTTAGCCAGTGTTTCGCGGATCCCTCCGGGTCACAGAAAGAACGCGTTCAGCCGCGCAGTGGTCTAGAGTCGCGTCGGCTTCCAGTGACATTTGCATCTGTCGTTCTCAGTGGACGATAAGCTATGAGTCCTCGGTGCTTCGTACCTCGCCCGGAGCCTCGTCCCGTGTCGTCCTGTGTACCACGCCCGGCGACTGACAGGCTGGCCGCCGCCGCCGCAGGACGCCGCCGCCCAACTTCCCCGTCTGGCAGGACTGCCACGAGATGTGGTCCAAGAACCGGCGCCGCCAGCAGCGAGACCAGCAGGAGCCGGGCGCCCGGCCGGCGGAGGGCGGCGCCGGCCGCGACCGGGCCGCCACGGCCGCCGCCTCTGCCGTCGACACTGCCCGGTGGGTGGAGCCGCGGACGGTCGGGCCAGGCGAGCCGCCGCCTTCGCCAGGGGGCCGTCGCCGCGCTCCGCAGCTGCTGCGGAGCGCAGTGGAGGCGTGGGGCTTCCGGCGAGGCTTGGTGCCACGAGTTTAGTGTCGGATCCGTCGGCGACGTGTTTTGCAGTCGTCGACTGTTTGGAAATGGCTAGATGAGATGATAAGATACGAATAGCGTGGGTCTGCGACAATTCGTGCACGTCCAGCGTGTGGGGAAACTATATGGCATCTGACGTCGAGGGTTTTCTATGCCATTGTCGCTGTGCTGAAATGTCACGTGCCATGTAAAACATTGATGTGTTCGTGCTCCCCGGTTCGCTGTTTACCCCAGTGTTTCTTTCAGTAGTCGTGTCGTCGTCGCTGGTTGTGGGTTGACTGTCAGTCCGCCGTGTGGCGCGAGTGACCTGGCCGTGACCCGGCCGCGGTCGCCAGGTCTCCCCGGTCGTCCAAGCCGGAGTCGTCTCGGGACGGCGATAGTCAGCCAGTGTCGACGACCACCTCGCCGCACACGCCGCCGCCGGTGGAGGCGCCGCCCGCCGCGGCCGTCGCCGCTGCCGCTCCCGCTGCCGCCGCCATCCCTGAGCAGGCGTCCTCGCTGGCCAGCCTGCTGGAGGAGCTGCTGCAGCGCGTGGCCGACCGCCAGCCTGTCACGTGCGAGCACATCACCAACATCGTACACTGCCAGGTGGGTCGGCGACCGGCGAGCGCTCTCGTCCCGCCGTGAAGGCGGTCGCGCCCCGCCCGCCTTCCCGCCCGCCTTCCTGCCGGGCCTCTCTGGGCCAACGCTCACCCAGCCGGGTACCAGCCATTGCGTTAGGATTAGACCTGTGCTCGCATGCTGACCTGGCTGATTAGCGATGTTGACGCGGGGCAGTATGCCTCATTTTACGATTTGGAACGCGCCGCCTAGAACATCAGCGTGTTCTGCTCCCCGATCGGTCGGTGGTTTTGCGATATGTCTGTCGTCCACTCCTTGCCCGATCCATTACCAAGGCTGCAGCCTGTCCCCTCCCTCAGCGCCATGTGTTTGCTGTACGTGGCGTCCTGGCGCGCCCACTCCTCGTGCGCCGGCGCGTAACGGTCTCCCCTTGGTAACAGGTGGACTCGACCACGCAGCGGTTACTGGAGCCGGTGAACGCGCAGCTGCTGGTGGCCGCCTCGGAGCAGGCCGTCCAGCTGTCGCCGTCCGTCTGCGTGCTGGGCCCGGCCGGGCTGGCCACGCCGCCGCTGCGGCTGGCACTCGGCGCACTGCTGCAGCACTGCGGCCTGCCGCCGCTGCCGGCCGCCTCCCCTCCTCCTCCCCCGCCGCCGCCGCCGCCGCCGCCGCCCCCGCCGGCACCGTGAGGCTACAGGCCGGCGGCGGCGACTAGCTGTTATTTTGTGATGGTTCCCCGAATTCGCCGCTTTGTCTGTGCGCGATGACAGTTCTCTTACGTGGCGATCGGTAGGTGTTTAATAAAACGGTCGAAAGACGGACGTGTGTGAAACCGAGACTGCTGGCGGTCGGTCGCGCGGCGCTCGGTGTTGGGCAGATGCGGCAGCCGAGTCTCGATCTGTTTGTCTACCGTTAAACAGCGGGGCGCGGCTTAGGCGGGTGGCGCCGCCTCGGGGTCAGCGGGTCACGCCTGCCCTCGCGGGGAGCAGGTGGCTGGTGCCGCACAGGAACGCCGCACGGCTGGCGGTGGGCCGCTATTAGTCTGATGGCGGAGCGTCAGCCCGGCGGCGCGCGGACGGGTGCGGCCCTGGTCCCCGACCGCTACTGACGGGACGGCCGCGACGCCACCGAGCCGCCGCTTGCCGTGTTCTTTTCCTCTGACGAAGCGCAACACTCAGGAATAATGCCGTCGCGTCAGCTGGGTGACCTTGCCCACTGCTGCTGGAATAATGTCGGAGGCATGCGTGCCGTGCAAAGGCATCGTCGCGGGAAGACGCCATCTACCGGGAGTTGCCTGTGACGTCACAGGCGGGCGCGGCGGTGGTCCCGAGTGCGATGTCCAATTCCAATATGGGTAAGTTGTGAAATGAGCTGATTCAGCCCACTGAAACACGAACAGAGAAGCCATGGCGCAGTCAGAGGTGCTGATAGTGCTGTTACTGGCGGGTGATGATATGTTAAAAACGTCCTTACTGATCATGCCATCCAGGCGCGGCCGGGGGCCGTCCGCTGGCTCGATACATGCCTCTGTCAGCACGCGAGGGCCCTCGCTGCGTGTTACAATGTGAACGGCCAGGACTCTCCGCACTTGTTTGGACCCGCGACAGTGACGTCACAGTCCGTGACTCACAGTTAAACCCCACTTTACAGACCAGGTGGGCTCGCCAGAGGTAGCCAATGCGCGTTCAGTTCCACGTAAGGAGCAGCGCCGGGGACCAGCATGTGAGCACCTGTAACACGACCACCCCCTCCGTGCGCCCAAGCTCCGTGACGACCCGTAGCCAAGTGATTGATCTTGTGACGCCCCGTGTCATCAAAGAATATTCAGGTCATTAGAAATGTCGATGGTTGTGCCTCTTCAGTGACCCAACCTTCTGGCGTTTGGCACCATGCCTTGCAAACGCTGAGTGATAATAGCATGAGCGAAAACCAGTTCCGGAACATTATATTATCGTTCCGTGCTGCAGCAGTTTATGTCGATTCGTCACCGAATTACGTATGGCCACTATCAAGTCGCATAAATGATTACACAATTGGGGGATCACCCTCTTTACATGAGTCCTCAACCAAGCCCGGCGTCTGGACAAGGCCATCCCTCCAGCAATTCCTGGATGATCGAACCCGAGTCGAACTCGCGTTGCTGTAGCACATCAGCCGCAGCACCGAGTCAGCACGGCTGTGCGGCGTTTTCACAGGCGTAGGCGTACTGCACCATCCAACAGCGCAGGCCTTGCGGACCACGAGGGCCGGGGCGGCAACAACGGTACGGTCAAACAGCAGAGGCCAAGACTGTCTGTCCCGCCTCCGAATCAGGACAGCGGCCAGCGACTTCAGGAGACCGCTCCAGGACCACAATCAGGAGCCCGGCAGTCCCTGTTTCCACTGGCTGCCGGGCCAGGCCGTGTCATGCTGCCAAGCTGGAAGGCAGGCTTGCTTCGCGTCGTTTCGCTCGTGAATGCTCGCCACGCAGTGGTTCCCTTGAAAACGGTGAGGCCGCTCCTCACGCGATGTCGTCGCTGGCCCTGAAAGGCAGTCAAACTCCGGAATGTGTCCCGGTCACTTGGTGTAAATCATTTGACGACAAGCGGTGACGACAAGCGGTCGTGAAACATGTCCATGCATTGGTGACTATTGTTCGGCTCGGCACCACATCCACAGATGTACCATGAAATGTGTGACAAACGGCATGCAGTACTGCGTACTTATTTCAACGCCTGAGCGAAGAGTAGCTTTTTACATGTACCATTAGACAACGCTGCCTTTTCCTCGATGACAAAATCTGAAAGGCTCTCAAAACATGCTTCTTCAAAGACTTTATTCAACCCACATGCAATGTCACGTATTTGAGCGACATCAACGGATTGAATTTGATTGTTGAGTTGTCAGGCATAAAACACTGGTACACATATTCACTGCGAAACTGTTTTCAGTAGTCAGTGAAACAAGCGATAAATATCTTGTGCTATCGGTTTTCTCCTGGTTTGTGTTCTTATGTTGAAAACAACTCACCTTCATCACGCCAGGAGATACTGGTTCACATGCACCCGGGTGGGGGTCAAATTGCCCCCCCCCCCCCCCAAGTGTTTCCAGAGTGGTTTCCGAACCGCGCGGCGAAGCCGCGCCAAATTTTGCATAGCTGTAGACAATTGAATAGCGGACCGTTTGGTGTAAAAATATCTAGGTGCATCTAGTAAGGTGGCTGACCTATGGCAGAAGAAAGTCAAGCCTTGGTTTCAGCAAAGGCAATTGCTAGGAAATCGCTCAATCTGACGTAACAACGGGGTGTTGGACGAAGCCGTACACCTTTGAGATGCTTTCTTAGGCAACACAACAATTGAATGAGAAAATCTATTGAACTAAGGCCAGGTATGAGGGTCAGACCAAGGTCAAAACCAACCTGACCCAAAATGACCCAGGTCAACATTTGTTTTTAGGGAGTATTATGCCTCGCGTAATCTTCGTCGCTTATTCATATGCAAAGCTCAGAGCAGTCTTGTATGATCTAACACGCGCCCCGATGGCCTGGCTAGATACCCTTCGCTTGGGTGGGGAGGAGGGGTCAATTTGACCCCCCCTGAGATCTCGGGAACTAGAAGAGCTAGACACCAAATTTACAGGGTGTCTTGACCTGCACGTGAACTCGCTTAGGTCAAGGTTTGAGCTTCCTAGGTCATGACCTTCAGGTCAAGTAAAGTCAAACAAGGTCAAATTCCAGGTTGGTCTCTAGAGTGCCCCCAGAACCTAGGACAAATTTTCTAAGCAAAAGGTCACAAGCCCCTTTAAGGTCAGTGACCTTGTTTGACCTTTTGAAGGTCATGGTGACCAAAAAATACAAGACTGCTGGGTTTTGCATTTGAATAAGCGACGAAGATGACGCTAGGCAGTATGTTCCTAAAACTAAATGTCGACCCGGGACATCTCAGGTCAATGGCATGTTCTGACTTCTAAGAAGTCAATGGAATACGTATAATGCGGTTCCTGCTGTCAATAAAGTCTAAAAGAGCACCACAAACTATCCCATACAGCAAGCCCTAGAGTAATAAATCACGTTGGTTTTGACCTTGGTCTGACCTTCATACCTGACCTTAGGTCAACGTAATTTGCTTATTCGATATTTGTGGTGCCTACGAAAGCATCCCGGAGATGTATGGCTTCGTCACACTCTCCGTTATTGCATCAGATTGGACGATTCCCTAGAAATTGCCTTCGCTGAAACCATGGCCCGATTTTCACCTGCCAGAAGGTCAACGACCTTACAAGGTACATACAATTTGTTTACGTCAAACGATCCGCTGTTTAATTGTTCACAGCTATGCGAAATTTGGCGAGGCTACGCCGCGCCATTCGGAAACCAATCTGGAAAAACCTTCGGGGGGGGGTCAAATTGAACCCCCACCCCAGCGCGTGTTAAGTCACCATGACCTTTAAAAGGTCAAACAAGGTCGCTGAACTTAAATGAGCATGTGACCTTTCGCTTAGAAACAGTTATCTAGGTTCTGGGACACTTTGGAGACCAACCTGGAATTTCATCTCGTTTGACCTTACTACACCAGGTCATAACCTAGGAACCTCAAACTTTGACTTAAACGAGTTCACGTGCAGGTCAACACACTCTGAATTTGGTGTCTCTAGCTTTCTTAGTTTCCGAGATCTCAGGGGGGTCAAACTGACCCCCACCCGAGCAAAGGGTATCCAGCCGGCCGCCTGGGTGCGTGTTAAGGGGCTGCATCACATCAGCATTGGTTTTAACGAGCCAATCGACGTTTTGAGCCTGTGATAGTTTCCATGGGGTTACTCGTCACCATGAACATAGCCAAGAAATGTCAGCTGTTCTCAATGAAACCAATGCTTGCATGCTACAGTACTGCAAGCAGTGTCTTCCTTACACTGAAGGCAGGTTGTTTCCGGTGTACAAAAATCCCAACTTTGAGATGTCATTTCCAATCAGTTGAATGTCCGGAAGGATATGGGGAATCGCTTGCATATAAATCGAACAGTTACCTATGACGATAGCTTGTGGTGCAATACAAATGTCCATACAGTTACAAATGCTATCTTATGTATCTATGGAGACTTCACATGAACATACTTCATAAACAGTAGCATTGAGGGATCAGGGATTGCAACACTATCACCGTCCATAGCTGTATGAAGTATTCATATTCATTGGTGAAGTGCAAAGTCACATGCCATACCAAAATAAGTAAGCCCAACCCAAGAAAAGGATGTCGAAATTCTCAGGCCTCCAGCACTCCATTCTCAATCATCACATGTTGAGACTGTCCAGCCACGCTTACCAGCGCTCAGTATCGCCACCGCCACCGACGCTCACACCGCTCCTGCGTCCGAGCCGGCATCGTCAGTGTCCCCCGCTGGCCGGGGAGGAGGACACGGGACACGGCTGACGAGCCGTCGTCGTTAGGAAGCTCCCTCAGCCCGGGCTTCCCTGCTCAGCCTGATGCCCGGTCCGGACGTCAGGCGGCAGCTCGGGAGCGGGCGGGCTTCAGCTGGGCTCGGACAGCAGTCGCCGCACCTCCTCGCAGCGCGCCAGCTCCGCCGGGCGCCGGCCGCGCAGGTCCACCACCGTGGCCAGGCCGGCGTCCGCCTCCAGCAGCAGGCGACAGGCGGGCAGCTGGCCGGCCTCGGCCGCCCAGTGCAGCGCTGTCTGGCCGCGCGCGTCCTGCGCCGCCGGCGCCGCACCCGCCGCCAGCAGTCGGCGCGCCACGGCCAGCCGGCCGGCGCCGGCGGCGCGCTGCAGAGCCGTGGCGCCGCCGCCGGTGCGCGCGTCGGCGTCAGCGCCGGCCGACAGCAGCGCCTCCACAGCCCGCAGCTGGCCAGCACGTGCTGCATAGTGTAGCGCAGTGTAGCCAGCCTGGTCAGCTCGGTCAGCTGCAGAGCCACGACCCAGGAGTAGCTCCAGCCGGGCCATGTCACCTTCCAGTGCTGATGACCATGGCAGAGGCATAAGGGCTGGCAGCTACAGGAGCAATGATTTTCAGGACCATCACAGTATGTGGTGTGGTGAGATAATGCTAATATCAAAGATTAAGCATTAGCATGCTAAAAACTAAATGATTCTGTAAACCTCTGCAAGCATCAAAACCAAAAAATATCTTTCATGCAAATACATGCCCATCATCATGTACATATCAGTTACATCAGCAGGGATACAATTCTAACACAACACTTACCTGCTGGCCAGATGCCTCTCTCCCACTCCATTTCATCCAAAGTCTGTGTGACCGAAGGAACAGCAGGGTGGCCCATGCAGCAACTGTCATGTTTCTGATGATTTGACATACTGTTGAAGTCCTGCAAACCATTTTCTCATGACATCACCTTTGGGTTTGTGCTTTTCATGGGCTATAAAAGAACTTGTCCTAAATGGTTCAAATGATCAAAGTTTCATTATATGATACTATTTGTATTAAGGTTGGTGCCCTGTAATTGTTTTGCTATGCACATATTATCAAAGCCTATAATAATATTGTCTATGATTCATATACAACTCACTGCACGTGCATTGAATTAAACATGGGATCACTCTCACTGCTTCTTTGTTTGCAGCCTAAGTGCTACTGCATTAATAAACAACCTCATAAATATTGATTTGTGTTTGCTGGACACATACCTAAATGGGACATGCTCAAGAAATGGTGTGATGAAGCCTGCACCAAACATATATGTTCCATTCTTTTACAGTTAAGACCAAAATGATATGCCCATCAACATCAGTCTTCTAGACTATTTCCAAGCATACTGGTGCATGAAACCAATCTATTTTCTACCTGGAAGGTTAAAATAGTCCAACCAACCCAAAACACCACAAACTTTAACCTGCAGTAATCACACACACAACGGGCTAAAACAATGCCTATATGATGCTTATAAAAGTACTCAGAAAGTCCTCCTCCTGTCCGAGACCAACCAACACACACTCAAAAAACGCATATGCCACTAAACGCGACTACTATCAATGTCACTTTGTCATTGGGGCGTTATGACACTCCGCTGCCGAGGCTTTATGGCGTCACTCGCCTCCCACCCTGGCAGGAACGGCGGGCACCGCGAAGAACCGGACCCCCCACCTCCGGTCTAAAACTTATACTACCGGTGCCACATATACGATTAATGCCATGTCGAATCGAACCCCGTACCTCTGGTTTCCCAGACGCGCATTTGCTAACGCAGATGCATTAACCACTACGCAACCGGCACCCCACATACGATTAATGTTGCTGTTGTCGTTGGTTTAGGGCGCATAGCCTGTTGGGCCCAGGCGTCCATCGTCGATGATACACGATTAACATGCAAGCAAAAGCGCTGGTGATGTCGGTACTGCGTGAAAAATGCCGTAGCAATAGACTACCAAATTCAGGTTTCTTGAGTGAAAGCTGTGGATATCCCTGTTTGAGTGCATGTATGTACTGCAACATGCAAAATTGCATGCATGTAAAGCATGATTTTGATAAACATTAACTTGTAAAATTATATACATGTATATATTTGTGTGTATGTGTCTTATAGGCATAGGAACTTTTCAAAAAGTGGGGAGCCAAGCAAGCCATTCATTTCGCTTGCAGCTTTTCAAGGGACAAGGCTTGCTGCAGTATTTTAAGCGGAAACAAGTTCGGAATCTTGAGACTGCCAAAACCATGTGACAAAAGCCCACTGGAGATCTGGCCGACTGGAGATCCTCCTCTGAAAACCAAGCCACAGAATGAAGGCCCTTCTGTCATATATTTCCCGTCTGAGTCCTGCTCCCGCTCTCCGTCGCTGGCCGCTGCCCTGACCCCGCTGTCTCAGAATGACTGGCCGCGAACTGATTGTATGGCTGCTTTGTTGCACATTTCTGGATCAGCATTGCTACTTATTGGGATCTAAAACATGTGTTGGACACCTGCAATAGTACCTTTTTTCCGAATTATTCTCCCTTACACTACACTACCCCAGAAAAATGCCTCCGGGAAGCTGCCTACCTTAGGTATTGGTAATACTGTATTGGTATTGGTATATATATATATATATATATATATATATATATATATATATATATATAATATTGGTATTGGACATAATTTTGAGCATGCGTTCTCCCCTATCTTGGTTAACAAAAACCTCGACGTCAGACGTTGCAGTCTCCGTAGGCCGCGCAGCGTAAACCCAGCAGCTAATACACTGAGCTCTGGAGCTCTGGCCGACGGGTAGACGAAAATCACGACGCTTCTGAAAGAAGTACCTGTGAAAGGTCCAGGACATCAAATCTTAAATCTACAAGGCAGTTTGGGTGCATATTTCACAAGTGCGATTTTTAGACTGATGATAAGGATGGATGGGCTCTTAAAGCATCGCGCAGTGGTGCTGGCACCTGGTGGTGGAACGGAATCGCAAAGGTGGATCCTCTATTTTTCGTGTTCCTGTAACTATTTATCTGTCCAGAAAACAGATTAACACGGCACCCGCCGTCTGGTGGCACTTAAAGTGGCCGACGCCGTTCGGTTTTACAGAAGCTGCAACCCAGCCCATCGCTCTCCTTGCTCTCGAGGTAGCGGGCGGGCGTGTCCAAACCTTTTAATGCATTCTTTTCACTTGTCCATTCTGAAAAAAATGAACGTTCACAGGCAAACATGCGACGTCTTTGTTCTTTTTTTCTGCTGTTTATTTCGACCCACTCTATTCAACAATAATAAGATAGTAATGAGGTAATGAGCAAAAAATAATAATGAGATAATCTATTCTGAAAAATGAACGTTCTCATGGCAAACATGGGATGGGCTTGTTTTTTGTCGTTGTTGTTCATTTCGACCCACTCTATTCAACAATAATGAGACCCCCACTTTACTCAACAATAATGAGACCTCTGATTTCCTCCGGGAAATATTTCTTAAATGTTTATTTCTTTATTGCCCTCCGGGAAAGGGGCCCCTTGAGTAGAACACCAGGGGCACATTACCGGGTTCGGTCAAGGGCTGAAAGGCCATTCCTTCCCATCGCAAAGTATCTTCTGGCTGTCATTCTAGCGACACGGGGCGGGATTTATTTCATTGGTCGATCCGGAGGTCATTGGAGGGATATATCATATCGCATTGTTCCCCTCCCTGACATGGGAGGCCTCCTGACCCGCGCAGTTGGCCCCGGATCAGCACAGGAGCCCTCATTAACGCAACAACATCCCTGACGCCAAAGGTGGTCCAATGATTGTCACACAGGCCCCAGTTCCGTGTTTTTCTGTGTTCTTCAGAGATATTGAGGAATCTCTGAACGTAGATTGTAGATAAAGTGGGTCATAAGCTTGTATTAACATGGCTCATCCATGTCCGTCTTAAAATGTTCAAAATTCGGTCAGATTGTATTACTGATAAAAAACTGCGCAAAATGGTTTTGAGCCTACGCGCTCTCGAGACATAGCAGCAACAGCCTGAACGCCCGACGTTGCAGTCTCCATAGGCCGCGCGGTGTCGGCTTGTGCGTACGACACTAAGCGCTGGTCAACAGGGGCGGATCCAGGATTTGATTTCGTCAAGGGGGGGGGGGCACGTAACATTGTGGGGCCCCCTGGAGTCTGGGGTCCCCCTTCAAAAAGTACGCTTGCATTTCGGTCATTGCATTTGAAGACAAAATGTATGCAACACACACACACACACACACACACACACACGCATATATGTATATATATATATATATATATATATATATATATATATATATATATATATATATATATATAGGCGTGCTAAGCATGCATACACATAGAACTCATTCACTTTCTACAGATCATGTTGAATGCTGGGACTTTGAGGCTACGTTTTTGCGGGACAGCAGGCAAGATAAACTTGAGTTAGCTGCTAACAACCATCAAAACCAAGTATGGACATGACAGGGCGATGTAATCAGTTGATGACTAATGACTAGTGCAACATTTTTCCTCTGTTTTAAATGAGTACAACATATCCTAGCATTCGAAATATGTTAAGAACGTAAAGCACTAGTATAATAAGTGTCACACACTTCATAGCTAATGAAAATGACACATACGACGCCGGCGGCATGTAAAATAACGTTCGGAAAATTCCGCGGAAAAATTCATCGACGCATATTCGACCGGTGCTTTGAGTCGAAGGCATCAAGGCCAATAGGGACGAGACCTGAGCGATCGTGGGTGCCGCAGAAGACCAACAAAGTAGCTCCCGTCAACACTGGTATAGTGTCCGCAGAGCAAGCAAAAAGAGACCATCGTGGTGGCCCCATGAACGACCGGTAGTGCCTCGTCAGGCTGGCATATGAAGCACCGGCCATAGCACAGAACGCTGTGAGCGAATGAAATTATCCAAGACAGTGAATTAATACTCCTGTGGGATCAAGAGTGCGCGGGCTGGTTAACAACACGAGTCTCGATATCAGTGGAGAGTCGTCCCCAAATGAGACCAAAGGGAGAGAGCCCTCGATCAAAGTAGATGGGCCCTGAGCATCGAGTGTCTCCGCGCCTTACCTTATAAAAGCCCAAGCAACAACACAAGGCCTCCAAGCAAGTAGGAAGAGACTGAGACTTAAATGAAGGGTCCCTGAGCAACTGAATGTCTCCTGGCATATGGGGTCTGGAAAAAGCGTAAAGGGCCTTTCGGGCGAATGGGGAGAATCCGCGGAGGAAAACCTGATCGATCACCGCTGCCCAGGCAGGCTCAACACCACATTGAACCTTACGAGAAAATGTAAAGAGATTAAGGGCAACGTGGAAAGCTCCTTAGCGATCAGATTGACCCGGCAAGTGGACATATATGGCCAGAAAACCAACAGCGCAATGGCTCTAGACAGCGTAAAAATCACGACACAATGTGTAGGGCTCTAAACAATCGAGTGCGCCCGAGCAGGTTAACATATAAGGGCCCTCATCAAGAGCGTAGGGCCCTCCATTCAAATAGGAAATACCCAAGACTCAATGTAGGAGTCCCCCAAATGATCGAGTGTGTCCAGTCAGGTTAACAAATGAGGTTCCCAAAAAGAGCGCAAAACCTTCCGTTTAAAAAGGAAGCATTCAAGACCCAATTCAGAGGACCCCCGAATGATCCAGTGGGTCAGAGCAGGTTAACATATAGGCCCCCGTCAAGAACGTAGGGCCCTCCATTCAAACAGGAAATACCCAAAACCCGATAAAGAGCGCCCCGGAGTGATCGAGTGTGCCCGAGCAAGTCAACAAATAGGGCTCCAAACAAGAGCGCAGGGCCCTCCATTCGAATGGGAAGCACCGAATACCGTATGTGATTGGCCCCAGAATGATAAAACGGGCCCGAGCAGCTTATCAGAAGGGGCCCGAGAAGAGCGTAGGGCCCCATTCAAATAAGAAGCACCCCAAAACACGGTGAAGAGGGCCCCCGAAAGATGGAGTATACCCGAGCAGATTATCAGGTGGCTCAGACAGGAGTGTGGGACCCTAGACTCAAACACCAAGACTCAATGTGCAGGGTCCCCGGACGATTCAGTGTGGCCAAAGCGGAAAACAGATGGGGTCCTACGTAGGGCACGTGTGGCCCTCCATTCGGATGGGAAGTGACCAAGACACTATGTGGAGGGCCCCAGAATATTCGAGTGTGTCCGAGCAGGTTAACAGGGGGGGGGGGGGGGGGGCGGCAAGAGCGCGCGGCCTTCTGTTCAAATATGAAATACCCACGACACGATGTAGACGGCCCCGAATAATCGAGGGCGCCAGGGCAGGCTAACAGATAGGGCCCCGAAAAGCGCGGAGGCCCTAAATACAAACACCAAGAACCAATGTGCAGGGCACACCGAGCAATCCAGTGTGGCCGAGGAGGCAAACAGAGGGGGCCCCCGACAAGTGCGTAGGGCTCCATTCGAATAGCACGTGCCCAAGGCCCAATGTAGAGGACCCCCAAACGATTGAATGTACCCGAGCAGGCCAGCAGATGGGCACCCGACAAGAGTGCAGGGCCCTAAGCAAGTGACAGAGAATTGTAAGCGCCCTAGACCAATGAAGAGGGCCCATGAGCATATCGCAAGTGTGTTGGTAGGTTAACTGAGACCCAGGTAAAGGGCTGCTGATCAACCGAGAATACCCCGGCAGGTTAAGACATGGGACCCTGGCTGTAGCCGACAGAGCCTTTCTGGCGAATGTAAAGAACACGTGGAAGGGCCTACGATTGACAAGAGTGCCCGGCACGCTAGCAAGACGGGCCCCAACAACAGCGCAAGCCCCCTCCCCCCCCCCCGAGCAAATGCAAAGAAATAGAGGGCAACGTGCAGTGCTCCTTAACTATCTAAATGATCCTGC